TATTTTGTACCTGATTATGAAAAATTATTTTATGATTAAAATACACAACGAAATAGCGTTAAGAGTTAAAATGAAAAAATATAAGTAACTAGCACAAATAAATTACTTTTGACTGAATACAGCGGACATATGTATGTTAGCAAACAGATGGAAAGAATAGGGCTCAGCCGGGAAGGGCTTATCGATGCCCTCCCTGTCCTTAATTGCGTCCAAAACCTCAGCCACGGTCTCATTGACCAAATGCGACACTTCAACAGATTTGGCGTATTTTCTGACAAATATTTAGATAAATATATTAAAAATATTGAAAAAATATATATTACTGCATGACATACCTAACGGCGCTGTGGCCCACCTTTCGTAAGGCCTCCCATGTCTTGCCGTAATCGGCGAACGCGATCTCAGTGTGCTTATCGTTACTAAAAATATTACCTTGATCATATTATAACAGACATTTAATTAAATTTTTGTTATATGTATGTAGATTATTAAAAATTTAAATATTTCTAATACACACCAAATTCAGACGGTGGTCGACCAGAGAAATCAACCTTGCTAAATGCCTCTTTGGCAATGTCCAGGTCGCATACGATGACAAATGGCCATGGTCCTATCCAAATAGTAAACACTGGACCGTATATTTTGTATAGTTTTATCAGTTCAAGGTTCCAGTGTTTTTTGTAGTTACGAAATACTGTTACAAAATACATAAAATATATTTTATAAAGCTCAATTTAAATTAATATTTTTAAATAAAATTACATAATACGTTTCCAAGTATAGGTATGGGTGTAGGTCCGGGCGGGTAGTTTTTAATTGCCGCATAATATTGTGATAGATAATGTACAGTTAGGCCAATAACCAAGGTGAGTACAACACTGATTTTAAAAGAAATGAGCAAATTAAGTTTTATTTAAATGATTTATTGATTATTTGATTATATAAATGAATTTACCAAATTATAAACATTTTATTTGTTTAACAGAAACAATAATTAATATAATTGTTGAAATTCTAATTAAATCTAATTAAATAGAGTTTAAACTAAAAACAAGTTTTCCCAATTCAATTTATACGATTTAATATGTTTATATTAATTTGTCTAATCTCATATAAGTTGAAGTATTAAATTATCACCAAATGATATAAGTACGATGCATAACATGGATTGATAAGGTAGTTAAGCATAGTATTTATAAGTTTATAATAAACTTATGATAAATACTGTAAATAACACATATTGAATAAATAATTAAAAGTGTAAAATATAACATAACATAGTCCATAAGATATACAATTTTTTATCAATTATAAAAATCAAATTTATAAAAAAAAGTATGATTTTACAGTAATGTTTCATAATCAAATAATAGCACTGTAAATGTAGTGTCTATTTGTCTAAATGTGGTAATTATGACAAAGATGCACTTTTATGTTAAATTATAAAGTGGATCAATAAAATTTTTATAATAGATTAACATTGTGAAAATGTTGGGACATAATATATTTTAAAGAACCTTGTCAGGAATTAAAAATTTTATTTAATATTATAATATTATAATTTTAAAAATTAATGTTTATTAGACGTAATTAAATCCATAAAGCAACATTTATATTAAATTAAATTGTAATATTTATTATCATTGATTTTGCACTAAATTTATTATCAATACAGTAGTACAGGTGCTTTAATATTTTTTGACGTAAATAGCGATAGATTTACATCAATAAATTAAGATTTAAAATTTTTTGTGTATCATTATTTAAAGTAATAAAAAAATTTACATTATTATCTGCAGTATTATAACATTGAGTATGTAAATGATATAACAAAATTATCAAAAAAAAATCTGAATTATTTAGTTCACAATAATTTAAAAATTTTGCGTATATTTTACGTTGATCATAAAATAATTATATCCTAAAAATATAATATCTTGTAATATGGAATACGATATTAGGTTATATAATTATAATGAAAATTACAAAGTTTACAACATAAAATAATATACAGTATTATTAAACTATAGCTTTTAAAATATAAACCCAATATTAATTACGAAAACTAGCATGTCTATTTTCTTTTCAAAATTAATTTATATTCACGGGGTGACTGAATCCACACATTTATCGGGTTAACTTCAATGGTGTTTGCTGTTTTATTATCCACCTCAATTGTATAATGACTGGTCAGTTGCAATAATCTGACCAGGGTCACAAACAAATTATTATATGCCATTTGCTCGCCAATACATACACGACGGCCGTAACCAAATGGTATAAAAGCTGCGGGTTTTACGGCAATCAATTTATCCTGGTCATCCAAAAATCGACCAGGATTAAACTCATCAGGCTTATCCCAGTAATTATCATCCATTAATATAGAGTACTGGTGCACTACTACACAGGTATCTTTTGGTAGTGAAAATTTGCCTAAAAATAGTGGTTAAAATTAAAACCTTTAGTTTATGTAATTTTTGATGTGAGCTTGATAATTTAATTTATTACCTAATTTACAGTCCTTTAATGTTTTATGAAAGAAACCAATCGGAGCTGAGTTTCTATATCTAAATACCTCGTAGACATAGGCCATAGTGTAATGCAATTTGTGTCTGTCATCGCCGGTTACGGGTCGATCACCTAGCTCACTGCGGATTTCATCACGTATCTTTTGCTGAACATCCGGGTAATAGGCCACCAATAGGATTATCCATAAAAGCATGTGGGTCACATCAACGCTAGCTGTATAATAAATTGTGTTTATTAGTTTTTAAATATACAATATGTATGTTTAATATCATATGATTTAAGTTTTAAACTGTAATTTTAAAACACTAGTTAATTATATATTAAAAACTATCTAGATGTAAAGCTAGTGGGATTGATGGCTCAGCAGTTTTACAAATTAACTTTTTATCGTAAAAAATTTAAATTTTAAAAAAGTTTACTATATTAATGCAACAATACGTTAACGATTTTTAAAAACAAAACATTCATATTTAATTCTTATATTACTAATAATTTTTTTATATTGCATGGCTTACTTAGAAATATATCCAGCAAGGTGGTGGCCATGTTAATATCGGTCAGGTGCTGAGCCGAGACCTTTTCATTAGCCTCGGCCTCGTGTTTGGCGCCGATCAGTAAGTCACAGAAATTACGTCTGTTTTCCTTGTCGTAGGTTTCGGTGTGTCGTTGGAAATGATTTGCGGAAAACTCGTGGAGTTCAGCGAAATACTTGCGGTACATGTCGAAAGGGTTGGCCATAAAATATTTCATGTATGGCACAAATTCGTAGCGAAATATGCGGTCACCAAGGTCAGATGAAAATGCGTACGACACGAATTTAAACTTTTCCATCTCGGACTCGCTTAGTTTCACCCTGTTTACAAATTATAATAATTTTAAGTTTTAAATAATTTAATTTTAATTTCACTTAATTATTCATAACAATTATTCGTTGATTAATTCTACTTTGATATGGCTCTCATCTAGCTTAATTTTTATATTTATAATAGATAATAGAGCATAAAATTATTTAAACTCTATTTTCAAATTAAAACTTTTAAATTATGGCATCTATGTAAAATTTACATATATTTACATTGTACATAAACATACTTTGTTATTTAGAAAAAAAACTTACTTGTTGCTATACATAGCCGCCAAGTGTATATTTGAAACCAGGTTATATAAATAGGGTTCGGCATGGAATGGCTTATCAATGCCCTCCCTGTCCTTTATTAAGTCCAACATCTCGCT